AAGTTTATCGCGAAAAATGAAGATTCCCGCTAGGACTCTGTCACGTATTGTAAAACAAGACCTAAAGCTCGGTGCTTATCATCAATATACAGGACATACCCTAAGTCAATCTTTACAATTAAAGATAAAGAATCGATCAAAATGGCTTCTGTTGCGATATGCAGGTCTTTCACCTTCGTATGTAAAGAAATAAAAAATTCACGGTTAAAGAACACTACAATAAGCAAAATGATAAAGTGTACGCTCGCAGTTCTAAAGAAGCTGCTTAAGTGGTCGGAAAGGTACAACGTGGTCATCATCCTGCGTAAGTGATGGTTTGGTAAGGCGTGTCTTATTAAGAAGTCACAAAATTACATTTTTGTAAAAAAGGAGTGATAACTTCAACCAAAGTGTATCAAGATACAGTCTTGGATCGTTTTGTAAAATCGATTTTTTTTTATTTTTTGCAGAGAAATATGTACGAGTATATATATACATAAAAAACGCATTTTCATTTGTAATAGAACTTATGGCTGGACTAGGTATATAGGTTCTACAAATACTAGATAACTAATAGTTATATAAACTTCCCGAATAGTTAATTACAAAATTATACTATCCACATTGAATACTGTAATCAAGTAAATTAAATTAAGCCGGGTTCTAGAAACAAGGGTAAACAGGCATAAATTCTAGGGTTGGGCTGTACTATGACGGAATTTTAATCGGAATCTAAAGTTACGAAAACTTTAGATTCCATTAAAACCCACTGTCTCAAATTTACAGAACAATGGCTCATTTACTGATTACATGCAACAAACTAAGCACAATTTTTTTACTTATGTTTAGTAAACAATTTTAGCTTATAAATGTTGACATTAGACGTTACTCATTCCGACTCATCTCACGAAACCAGTGAATAATATTGTAAAAAAGTTCACACATTTTTATTGCACTGATTTTGATAAAATTTGATATAGTAATAACTTGAAATTATAACTTATAAAATATTTTTGCCGCTGCTAAATGTTCAAATATATCCCTCGATAATATGTCACCAACAATGCCAATTTAATAATAAAATCAGTAAAAAAACATCTGTAATTGTAGTAGTAATCTTTTCGTTTCCATGTTTTTTTTTATGATGGCAAACAAGTTGATAGTCCATCTAATAGAAATGAATTAATAATCACAATAATCAAATAATGGTATTTGTATATCATAATATATGTAGATATATATTTATAAATATGTATGTTCAGATATTTGACACAACGTGTATCCTAAATCGCATGATGAATTTTATATCTTATTAAATTACTAGCTGATTCGGTAAACGTTGTTTTACCACATACATTATTTATAGAAAATATTTCGTTAGTTCATTAAAAAAAAAGCTAACACTATAAGCGTGTGGGGATGTAATTATAATTGAAAGGGGAAGGAAGCGTAGTAGACCATTAAAGTAGCTAGCTGTCCCGGTGTGCATATTTTTTCCCCTGTTAGCTTTTTATCTATAAAATTAGCACATATTTGAGATCATCACATAAACGGTGGGTATCACCAATGAACTGAAGATTATTATTTCTTCTTCAAATTACGATTTGTCGCGTAGCTACGCACATACGTACGGTCACCAACCATGATTCCAGCAAGGTCGTCAACAACAGGTGCGTCAAATCTATGTATATACTTTCCACTTGGTGTTGTACCAGGATTGATGACAATAGCGTAGTTGTCACTTTGTAGCTTGGGCATGTGTGATTTTAATTGTACATTTACAATTTACATTTACAATTCATTGTACTCATCTAACAGAGGATCCAGCTTGGTGACGATGCGCCTGGCAATATGCAATAAAAGGGTGAAAAATTCAAGTTGTATGTATTTTTCGCTAAATCATAATAAAATAAAAATAAAAGTAGAAAAAATAAAAAATATTTAGCGGTGAGTCACCTTTATCATTGAGGGATATGAAAAATAAATGTTAGTCGACTCTCAGATCTACCCAATATGCACATAAAATTTCATAAAAATTGGTAAAACCGTTTCAGAGGAGTTTGGTAACAAACACCGCGATACGAGAATTTTATATATTAGATATTTCTCTCAATTATGCCGATAGACAACCGCAAAATCAGAGAAATTGCAGGTGTGTTCTTGGCCTTTTAGAAAGGAACATGTTTTTTTCTTGAATGTTTGAATGTGGTATCTGTTTGAAAATACTGCTGCTGGGTGTTAGTTCCATAACTTGGTACCTATTTCAAAATGAAGATCTAAAGCTCACCGTTCACTGGAACCCTAAATTTGGCCTGCGATGGCGTAATACGCAAACAAACTATATCGAATGCAATAAAAATTATCAAATACTGTCCGAAATCGGCGAAGATTACACCTAATATACGTACAGACGCAAAAATACAGTCTAATTGGGAATTCTTTTCTTCGAAGTCGGTATAAAAACATTTACTAACAATGTTTATTCCTAATTACCCCCGGTACGTAGATTAATTTGGAATACGAGCTAAATGTGTATAAGTTTGCTAGACTAATTTCCTCGGCTTTAGAGCAAAGACGTGTTTCCTTATAGAGTGTAGATTCCCGCGGAGTTATTTAACAAATTTTACACGCGGCTCGAGTTTTAACCTCACCACCATATGTTTGCATTACCGCTGTCGCGAATACGTTAGGGGTGGTATTCTAATGAGACTAGTACAGTAAGTACAAGAAAGGATGACAAAGTGCTGTAAGTTGATATGGAATCAATTCAGTATTACTTTTTTTATACCACTAAGGTGGCAAATTATATTAAATTTACTAATAATATACAATTAGGTTTGTTTTTTTTTAAACAGATTTTAACTAAATGGTGACATAAATTAGTATATAAGTATAAAATAAAATCGCAGTATACAGCTTCTATATAAACAATATTCGATGAGACCATAATAAACTACCACTTTTATTATACAACTAGTAGTTTCTCATAAAATTTAACGACGGTAATCCCTTACTATTAAATGAGCGGCATGCTCATTTGCCCCCTTACATTATAAAAAGAATGTAACTTGTGATAGATTCTAAATCTATAATAAGGAATCCCAGTAATAAAATGTATTTTTTTCTGAACAAATAATTTTAATATTATAATCAGACAGGTTTCTAAGTTGTGTATAAATATATACCTATACTATTATATATTATATTTTTTTGTAGAATAGTTTGTGGCAGTATTGCCATTGTTAATAGTAGTTTAAAGATCACAAATATTTTAATTTAGAATAAAAGCTGATATTCCTGATGCGTAGATATTATATTTAGTTTTTATACTAAATGATACGTGTAAACCTATCATCCGATATATAAATACATTTTACGATAGACATTTGTACGTATAATTCAATCTTAAACTTTCATATTGACATTGTGCCCTTCCACAAATAAATTTCACAAGTTGTAATCTAAATATGTCAAAACACAGCGAAATTTCTATAAAAATAGGTATACAAAATATTTTTAATATCAATATTCCACAAGATAGAAAAAAATGTGAATTTTCCATGCAAAGTGGAACTTAATCAAAAGATCTAAACTCAGTTATTTAATGCTAATCATATAAAATATGGAAGTGCTCGTATGTAAAAAAAATATATAGTTTTTAACAACTAGTATAATAGAGACATACTTATCTATGTTTACTTTATAAAGAGAAAATATTTAATTGTTTGTTTGCATTGGATAAACTTAAAACTACACAATCGATTTAAAAAAAAATCATCTGTAAAAAGCTATATTATTGTCGAATAACATAGACTATACATTATTTTAAAAAAATCTGTCTACCCATGCGAAACCGGGCTAGATCGTTAATTTATTATACGAAAGCAATGTAAGACAATTTACGTTCAACCAACTATCTCGAATTGTACACAGGCTATAATAAATAATCCTAGTGTAATAAAAGCCGAAATACGAGAGCTCCGCAAAGAATAGTCGCAACAAGGAGCGTATTATTCAGTGTCACCGGCTAGACGTGTCTCGTAATATATGCTTTAATAAAAGGGTTTCAATTCACACCCGAACATACATCATCCGAAGAAACCCGAAGTATCAATAATATCGAAAAAGATCTTCAATTTATTATTCATTGAAGTCGCTGGGCGGGGCGGGCCGCTACATAAATCCTGGGTTAGCCACTAAATCATCGTTTGCACGCGGCTGAGGGACCTACGGCTACTTTTTATCCTTTTTATCGGAAACAAATATAACGATTGTACTGCAGAATAATTACAATTCATATTGCGTTTCTATTGCATACAGTCGTCTTGTTTGTTCGCAAATATATTGTTTCTCTCCTATTGGCATTTCTAACAACTGCGTCGGAATATCGTGACCTTCGTTCATATATCCCCGTTTCGTGCATTAACAATGTATTCAGACCTAAACAAAGAGAAGCAGGTGGATCGTGGACACACTGCGATGCTATGCCAACTGAAAGATTCCATAAAAACTGTAATGGTACCCTCGTCACGTCTGGACATCTTATTTATCTAGTCACGGGCAAAATCATTGTTTTCTTTTTCGTTGTGTTGAGGCAAAAAACACGCCTTATTACCGCCACTGGCTAACAGATGAACTGCTGAACAGGACCATTGTCCCCGATCCTTGTGTGTGACGTTTGTTTTTCGCAGGCTCAAGAAAAAATTGTCCTTTCCCGTCGAAATACATCTACTTATTCATGTGTTTTCACCTTTGTTTGCTCTTTTCATATTCGAGTTACTGAATCAGTAACATGATTTTATTCAACAATAAAAATGAAACAAGCTGTACAATTATATTGTTATTATTTTAGTATGTTAATTGTTTATGTACTATAATTGGTAGTATAAAATAAAATTCGCAATGAATAAAACAAAACATGAATTATAATAATACTATAAGAAAGAACAAAATATTTTAAAATCTGAAAGAATATTAAGGGTACATAAGATGCTATTAAATTTAAATAAAATAACTGTCAATTAATGAATAAGAAAAATCGATTTATTAATAAGTATTTATATTAAGTAAGCATTATAAGTTTTAAACAAATTTCTAATTATCGCACTGGCAGCTACCTAATTAAAACAGACATATCAAGATATATGTGTACAGAAAGCGTATTTCCTTAATTGAGCTGGATTTTGATTTCATCAAAGCTTCATTAATCATGAATAATAAATGCATAATTTTCATGTTTATTTTCAGCTTTTTAATTATGAAGTCCTTGTTTCTTATTACATACTCAAGTTTATCTATATAATATGTACCTAACCTCAGCTGAATATTATTAGGATGCATTTCAAGAAGTTTAATTAGCACGTGCATCTTAAAAATATATCTGAAAACCATCTAAAAGAGATTATAATATCCAAATACTAAATTTAAATATATTAAATATAGGCATATTTTAGAGTATAATAGCTACAATATTAACCTCTCTAACATTAAATTAGATATTGTACAAATAATGTATACGAGTATAATATCAATAAAGGTATGATTAGATCGTCATCGTTACTTCCAGTGTACAAAGATCCCTTAATAAAGAGGAAAAAATCGTGCATCTTAAATATTTAGGTAATAATATTGTTTTCTCAAAAAACTAAAACATAATAATTTTTAGTTGAATGCTAAAGATTAAATTTGCTTATGGTTAAAAATTTAAGCTAGTGCTCAATATTGAAAATAAAATTAGTATTACGCTTGATAAAAAAACTTTAAATATAGGCATCCATTAATCTTTAATTTATCTGGTTTGAATGTTTCTTAGTAAGGTGAAAAAAGAATACGCTGAATTCATTATCTGTAATTTAAAAACAAAAAATATATAATTTTTAATGTTCAAATGACATATCAGCCATTAACTGTCCTCTGCTGAACATAGGACTGTCCCAAAACGGTGGGGTGGAGGCTAGTCCAAAGGAAGCAGTGGCGCATTTTATGTCGGGACCACACGGCATTGTTATTAGTATATATGATAGTAGAGATTTAATAAATTTTGTTTATAATTTTATAACTAACTGACTGACTAGTAATTTCAGGAACTACCAGTCGGTTTAGAAGAGCAAACAAACAAACTCTTCCGCTTTATTACTTTAACATATTTATATACATTATGTATATAAATTAGGTTATCTTAATTTAATATGAATAAGACAACTTACAGATGTAAAAGTAGTCAGAGACAATATAAACATTTTCCCGCCAACTATGCAGAGTGGCACATTTGCTCTTTCAACAAACAAACGTAGACTGCTTTTGAACCGCCGAGATCTTGGTATCCAATCACAACTATATACAGCGAAGGGTAGTAATTGGCTCTAAAAAAAAATAAACATAGTTAAGAATTATTTATTATTATTATATCAGCCGTTAATATCAACTACATGGGTTCACAATCACAGTTAGGTCTTGATGATGTTTTAAAAGGGATGCTGCTGCCCATCCCTCGACCATTAAGTTTTTTTAGTCGCTTTAAAAGGCGACACCCACAAGAACAGAAGGGTTGGCACATTCTATGCTGGGACGGCTGGGTATAATATTAACCTATTAATATTATAGGATTAAAATTCATTATTAAATCATTATAAGTATTTTGTTGTAAAAATATTAAAAACAAAAATTATCTGTATTAATAATATCACACTAGCTGAAATTATTATCTTAATTTTTTCAATCAACTTTTACAAACTAAAATACAGTCGAATATTTCTCATTTCGACTGTATTTTTTATTCTCATTTATTTACAAAATTGGTGACTACCTATAGTGCATCGTATTTTCACGAAATCTGATTTGAGTTTGAACATTCCATTTTTAATCAAAGCTTTCGTATTAAAATACACTAATGTGGTTAACCTAGACAGCGCTTTTTATAATTCTCTATCAAAACAAAGTTACACTATAAGTATCACAAAGGAATCCTTTGTCTGGTTGTCCATCCGTTTCTCTGTTAGTGTCCTATTTCTAAATAACTACTAATACTATCAGTTTGAAATGTTTTTAAGTTAAGTACTCGTATTATACATACGAGTACTTAAAAACATTAATTTTTTTATTTTCTGAAATAGTGGACTCAGCTTAACGTAAAAAGCACTTAGTGAGCCTTCATAATGCGGCCAATTATTGAAAATGGAATGTTTTCTTTTCGGTTAATCTTATTCATGGACCATGTGGACTCTGTGTTCGATCAGGATGGTGTCAGATATCATGCTATAATAAAACAAAAGTGGCACTCAAAATTTAAAAATACGTAGGCTAATTTTCAGTTCATAAGTACAGGTAGCATATATAAATTTATATACTAGTATATGACATGCTTTATTAACACATTCTAAAACTATATTTTATTTATATGTATGCCTAGTAGTTTTTGACTAATGTTAGAAAACGTAAATTAGACCTTTAACAATATTTCTTTGTCACTGAAGTAATAATAATATGTTAATATTACAGAAAATATGTATATACTAAATGTTAATGTTACAAAAAAAAAATATAACAAAGATTCTAATTGCCTTAATTTGATAGAAAATTATGAAAAAATCTTCACAAAGCCATGAGGTTCGACTTATCATATATTTATAACCAAAAATAAAAAATACAAAAAAACACGAATGTAATATTTTACATAACCTCATTTTAATTTATATTATATTAAATATTATGTAAAGAAAACTTTATTACGTTATGAACATTAAATGTAGAAGAAAGATTTAATGAATCAAATGCTAAAAAAATCTATATGAAACAATACAATAATTTTATTTCTTGTGTAGTATTTTTTTTTCTTATAAATAGTCACAAAAAGATTATACCTTATGCATCATTTTAGATCCAAACCAACTAGGGACTAATATTTGCAGGATCATAACACTCATATATGTAGCAAGAAAAATATAGTATGACGTAGACGCGGGCTGAAATTTAACATAAAATAATAAATTTATGTAAATTCAAGAAAAATATGGCATTATTTATATTTTATTATATTTTACTTACCATTGTAAATCTGAAAAGACAAATACAAATAATGCAAGAAGCCATACTAAACTGCACAAATATAATAAAGCTGAAAACACGCTGTATTTGGTCACAAAATCTGTAAGAATCAAAATTTCAAAATTTCTTTCTTATCCATAAAGAGTTATTAACTAATTTATAAAACTAAATAACCACAAAGAAAATACTTTGATATTTCTTCAAAATGTTGGACACATTGATGTAACTTTTTTAACATATCTGCTTCAGAAACATCATCAACATTATCCTCATCTGTTTTATGATCAGTTAAAGTTCTTAATTTTAAATCAAGTATATCTAATTGAGCTATAACAAAGATAATTAAACCCAGAATAAAAGTATCAATGTTAAGATTTACTAATACAAGATATTGTATTCCAAGACATTGGTATAAATATAGTAGATGTCTATATGTATCTATAAAATCTTTAGAGAGAAAACTATAACTACATATTGGTAATTCTAGATCCACTGAGAAAATAAAATGTAGCATAACTGGAACTCCAAAATGTGCTACATGGGATGTAAAAGATACAATTGCTACTATTTTCCAGTACATTATATTAAATGAGTTTGCTTTTTTTAAAATTTTTACTTCCATGTCGTTACAAAGTTGGAACATTTCACTTTCTAAACTATTGAATATATCAATTAATCCATCACGTTCTTTTAAAAATGTAATCACTTTCGAGGCGACAACCACAGCTGTGAAATAAAATAATGTATTTTCAATGATAACATCCAACTGTTTCGTCATGCAACACAAGTTTAATGTGAGCAATGCATCAAAGAGTAAAATTAGAACTGCAATCAAGATTTTTGAAAAAATATGATGATATTTCCATGTATCGTCTGCAGGCCATAGACCAATAATTTTCCAAATTTTCTTATTTATTTCAAAACAGTTTATCTGATTCAACGGTTCCATTGTTTTAATAATGGAATTAAGCGCGGGAGAAGATTACTTTTCTATTTCAATGCAACAAAAGAAAATATTTCTCAGACTGCGTTTAATACCGCAGTTGGCTGCACGGCGGACGGCTTTAATAGATTGAGGTCACAAAGGCTTAGCTTGTTATTAGCGTAGCGAGTTTTAGAAATTGCAATTCTCTAATTAAATGGAACAAACGTGTCTATTAATCTATTGTCTTGGGATTTTAATCCCTTTGATTATTTCAAAAGTAAAAAGAAATATTTCTTTAAAGTTCGTTTTAGAAGTCTTCACTTATGAGGTGTAATTTAAAATACCTTGACTAAAATTAAAGAATATGAATACATTGCCGATGCAAATGAATGTAGGTTAATTGCGGGAAAGGCATTTATAAATGAGATGCAATTAGTGGAGGTGACGCCTGACTCTTCCACCTGTAAAAGTTCAGAAATACGCTTTAATTAACAAACTAGGCGTTTAATTCCTGAGGATTGTGCAAAATTTTTTTTCTGCACTAATTAATAAGTTAATAAATAATGGTAATTTATTTTCGTTTTTACAGTTTTACTGTATATTCTATAAGGGAATTTTAATAAAACCCACTACTGAAAACATTATTAGCTTTTTGTGTTCCTATAGACGATAGAGATATTATTGACATAGTTTATCATGTCATTATTATACAACTTTTTTCCGGAAAATAGGTATTGATTGACTTTGACTACTTATCACTACTGACCATCACTTGTGGCGTAGTGTATGTATATTATGTTTAAAAAAATATTTGAGTATAAAGACAAAGGTGAGAAAGTGTCTGCAAAAAAGGTATCTTTTTTAAAATCTGTGAAAAATTAAAGTTATAAAAACAATATTATGTTTCTACAAAACGTTTATATTTTGTTGTGTTACTTAAGTTTTGATATTATGTTTTCGTTTTCAATTCCACGACAAAGTTTTACCTCAACAGGTAACTTTAGCTAACAAAACCGTTGTTTGCAAACTGAATGAATATTTAGGTTGTACCGAAGTTTACTTAGTAATTTTTAAATGGTCATATGGAATGAAATATGATAATGAGTTTTTTTTTTTAATTTAATTAAAAATATCCTTAGAATAGTACAAATAAATAAAGTACGAGTACAATGTGGAAATATTACGTTCATCATAACATTGCAACCCAAACCTGTTTTTTAACTTATTCGTCCCTAGCTGAAACACGAAATCAACTTTTAACCAACAAAATTTTAAATATTAATTCCTACTTTCCAACTGAATAAGGAAAGTATCTAGCCAGAACAGATAATTTGAATTTTTAAATAGACTGTAGCGACCGATTAATCCTCACCAGTAGCCGAGTTTTCTTGTAATAAATTATCTGAATTATATAGCCGCAATTCAACTTCTGATTTTCGAAGCATTAATTTTAGAAGTACTTTTGATTTACGGGTCTTTGTTAAGACGAAAGCAATGCAAGTATAAATACAAAGATTTGTTAATATTGTTTTAAAGTCAAAGTGCTTCCTCTTGCAAACGAATTGTAAATGTTTAGAATTGCTTCTTATCGAGTGCTGCGTCAAATTGATGTGTTTGCGTTTAAATTGTTACAGATTGCATGGCAAATTATTTGTTGTTTTTATATCATTAGTGTCTGTTCAAATACACAAAACTGTATTGTTTGCTGATTATAATAACCGGATATAAATAGAAACTTTACGTAAATAAACAAAATATAAAGCTCGACTCCTAATTTGTATACTACTCATATATAATATTATCTGTCTCATCTGCTCATCTGGAATAGAAACATTGATAAGAACTCTAGCAAAATAAAAATAAAAATTTAATTGCAAAAATATCCTAATAACAAATAGATTGTGTTGTCGTGTGGTCCCGGTATAAATTGGGCCACCCTTTCCTCTCCCATGGGTGTCGTAAAAGGCGACTAAGGAAATTTAATGGTCGAAGGATGAATAGCAGCATCCCTCTTAAAACATCACCTAACTGCAGTTGCAAGCCTGCCTGCCAAGCGTGGCAACTACTGGTAAAACGCCTATGTTCAGCAGTGGATAGTTAATGGTTGATATGAAGATGATGACTCATGTAGATGACTTTTGTAGAAAGTTCTCCTTTAGTAAACATAGTTTATTATTGATATCACTTAAATTCCTATTATGGCACGTTATATTATGTACTTACTAAATTTGAGAATATAACCAATACAATTATTAAAGTTGTTAGAAAATTAAATCTGTTTGACACTTGACCACAAAGCGTACTATAATATACCTTTGTTTATCTCAAAGACACTGTAAATATCCTCCAGCAACTGGTATCCGGGACACGCACCCCGGTAATGACCGAGCTCATTAGCACTATCCTGGAGGGCCCCTGTGTTAACAGATAACAAACTTCGTGGCGTATACCTAACAAAAGCAAAATTCAAGTTGCATCGTATGGACTACACGCCTTTATTGACACTTCAAATATCTGGGGGCGATTTGTGAGAAATAGTGCGGAGTAACTTTATGGATCGAAGTTTTCAGGATATATTATTATCTAGTTAAAAAGTCTGTAAATCATATTATAATTATATATAATTATGGCCTAAGAATAATTTAATATATGTATAGATTTTCAAGTAGCAGTAAAAAATATATTATTAAATTAAAATTATACAATTAGAATAAATTAAATCGATAATTGTAAGTAGGTATAGGATATTCACTACACTTTAATCTCGTTTATATTCTGTGATCTAATAGTATTCTTTTGAACACTAAAAGAATTCCTTTAATTGTTAAATTATACTGATATATTCGTAAAACATCGACTTCTTTCAATTTCGGTATTGAATATCACGTTGGATTGAACGTTCTCAATGACTTTATAAATAATTTAATGTAATATCGTTAAAATTTAAAACTTGTTCCATAGTGGTATATTCGTCATTCTATTTTATTCTTCTTTTTCATGCTGTCTTCTGTGTGTTAGACAGAAAGTAGGCCTCTATTCTTATTAAAAAGATTTGATTCATTTATTTTTATACTCTACTTTTCGATTCTAATTCCTTTCTAAACTCCATCTGCAGTAATATTATAAATAATGTTTACATTTTATGTAAAATACAATCTTTGGTGTCCATTGTATCTACAAAACACAATTTTGTTACAATCCTTGGAAAGTGGAAATGAAACAAGATTTATTGCCTTTAACCAAGAACCGATCATAACGTAAGAAATAAATGTACCACCATCCGCATTTTCACAACCTCATGAGACGAGCTTATAAAAATACTTCTGAAGACACAAATTTCTATCCTGCGCGAATAAACAGTGAAAATTCTTTAGGGTATCGTATATTTGTGGGGACATTACAGAGAACGTCCAAGTGACTGATAACAATGGAGCAAGTTTATCCGTTTGCGTAGTTAATATGCAGAGATGTTGGCACATCGTCACTAGGGAGGTCTGCAGTGTTAATGGCCGAGCTCATTACACGGATCTTTGTAGGTGGAATATATAATTTACTTATGAGAAGTATTAAAAGGAAAGTTCACGCATTTTTAACAGATTTTAAAAAAGATATACATTCTGCGCATAAGTATACTTTTTGTAAATTAAACAAACTCACTTCAAATAAGGCAAGCAATGATGATAATATACATCTAGTTCTTTAAAATTACAAGACAAAATTGCATATATATATAATATGATAAAATGACACGGTTTGTACGTCAATATCTATTAGTACATAACACATGTACCTAATGTGTATATTACGTAAATATACGTCTGTAGATCCAGATGATCTTTGAAGGCGCTGGGAGCTGTTAAAACTAATATTGGATCATGCAATTATTACTCTAATAATTTTTACATTACCTTATTTCATAAATTTCATAGCTATTCATGTTACCTTTTTCAGGTAACAGTTTAATATTCTTTCTTATTTAAAGTATTCTTTGTTTTTTTTTTGTTTCATTACTTTTTTTGTACACACCGAAATATCAGTTTAATACTTTAATACCTACCTTGTACAGACTCTATTTTGGTTTTTACAGATAAAATGCAATCTTTATAAAGGTTATAATAAATAAAAGAATATTACAAATCCCAATTACTTTCGGCAATTCTAAATTTATTTTTCGCACATCTTTTCATTTTATAATGTCTCAGATACAGATTTGCTTTACACACCTACGCTTATCTATAGTCCTACATCTATACGGATTAATACGAAGGAATACACGAGCATATAGCCGAGGTAATTCTACAATTAGATCGTTTCATAGTAGGCAATTCATATGAAATGAAACCATAATCATGGCTGTGTTCCACGTGACTAGCACTGATATAATCGTATTAATATTGACGACGATTTAGGTTCTATTGCTAATGACGGCGTATTGCAGGTGCTGCTACCTATTAGCAGCATGTACGCAAGATTTCAGCCGCTAATTTGTTTTCCAAAATTCTATATCAGTTATAATAAAGTTTAATAGTATAGGTGGTAAATAAAATAGAAATAAAATAGCGTGAAATTTATTATATTTTATAATATAATTGCATTATAAAGACTTTAACTACTAGTTCGCTACTATTTATCAAAATTTCATAGAATAATTATATTATATAATGCTGTTCGATGTATAATAACGTTTAAATCTTATAGAGTTTAAAAGTATTACAGATGGGAGTATTTTAGAATTTACTTTTTTTATAATAATAATTGTGTGATTTAAACTCACTTATTTAAATAATAGTCTACTAACTTCTCGATTATCTAGATTACCCAGATAGGTGGCAACCTATATCCTTATAGCTAATAAGTCCATGAATTAAATTAAATGGCAATGTCTGCTGCCTTGTTCTTTCTTATGCGAGAAACAATAGAAATTATTTTATCGATAGATTTGGCTGTCACAAATATAGAGAAAATGGCATATAATTGTGTCTTTAAAAGTTCATTCATTTTGCTTTATATTAAAAATAAGCATTCAATTTAATGTAAATATAAATAAGTCTTCCTATTCTGGCTTTAGTTCTGTTTTCGGTTCAAGTCCAGACTTAGATTTATTTGAATGTTTAATTTCTCAACTGAGAGAAATTGACTATTTTGATTTAAATTGATTTCTACACCAACGTTCGTTTACTATTGCAGACGTGTGTTAAATGCTTATTTTTACATAAAAAAAATCCATTTGTTATTGAATTTTTCATGAATTTTGTTAGCCTTTAAATTTTTTCATCTTGCTGATCGACAACGTTTTTCACAAGTGTTAAAAAAGAATACGCTGTTTTCATAATCTGAAGAAGAAAAACTGATTATATTCGTTATTTTTATAAATTATGCCACTAACAAAAACAAATTAAGTGATTTTTTAATGAAAAGTAGTGCCCAATTATAAATGTAGTAGACTCATATGTAATTAATGTATAATAATGATGACTCTTGTGATAATAAAGTTACAATTAATTAAAATTTTCACATCGTAGATATTTTTTATATAATGCAAAATATTTTACCGATGTAAAAGCCCCGAGAGATAGTGTGAACAATTTTAAGCCTTTTAACACAATAGGAGATTTAGCACGTTCCATAAAGAGTTTCAAATTTAACTTAAATTTTTCAGATCTTACTATCCATTCACTGTTGTATGCTGCAAACACTAAGTTTTCACTCTGAAAAAATATATATTAAAATCTTTTCACAAACATGCTTGGAAATTTGAGCATTATTTTGACAACCTTCTTCGAGATAAATTGAACTTGCGGTACTGGTCGAGCAGCGGCCGACAATAGTTGTATGAAAATCCATATCTGTCGTGTTTAGCGGCCAAATAAATTACTATGTAAAATCATATTTGTCGTGTAACTAACTTAACTTATCAAAGGTTTAATTTAAATTTCGAACTGGCTTGCACATAGAAAGCTGTTTAGTGAAAAAAAATATATTTTGGCGCGTAAAAAACTATTGTTATTAGTTGTTCGTCAACTTCGTCATTGGTTTTAAATACTTTTGTATTTCAAGGGAAGACAATGAGTGTAATGAAATTATTTTAACACCACCTGAAATTCAAGAGGCAGTAAGAGCCGTAGTAGAAAACTTGTTTTGAAAATTTTGGCGGCACCAAAATCTAAAGAAAAATATTTGAAAATCTATGAAAATTTTGTTCAATGTAAGAATGAAAGAAAATCGAAATCCTTATCCTAAAATGTTTTTCTGGCTTATTTCGGCGAACTCGCCAAGAAAGTGAAGCCTACAACACTTTGGGTCATCTATTCAATGCTAAAATGCACAATTTTAATGAAACATAACGTGAATTTGAATAATTTCGGCGCATTATTTGAGAAAAGTACTATACAAGCCTTGGCCGCAACTAGGCATTGATGGACTCACGTATGTGTGCCTCGGGTTCCCCTCGGCCCACATTCACACGTTCGTCCATCAATGCCTCTCTTGTCGGCCGCTGCAGTAATGTACTATTGCTGACATTGTAAATGTAAAAATGAATTTGTTTGTTATCTTATAGCGTCTTTACAGCCTAATCAATCTATATGTAGTACACACATACTACATACGATGGAAAAGGATATAAGCTACTTTTTATCCCAGTCACTGAGCATATCCCGGTCACGCGTATGAATTCGCATGTAAAAGCTTGTATAAGTTAATTTATATTTTATAATAGTATAGGGACAACAGAAACTTATGAAGTTTACCAGGTGTCGTCATTAAATCGTAAATGATGAAAATGGATCTTTAAATATCTAGCTCAGCCACAAATAGATTTAGGTACTTAGTTCTATAACTCTTTATTAACCAACACGCTATTACTCAATAATAAGAGGGTTATGGTCGAGGGATGGGTAGGAGAGTCTCTCTTAAAACATCACCAAAACCTAACTGCAACTGCCAACCCGCCTGCCAAGCGTGGCAACTATTGACAGAACTCCCCTTATGGAGAAGGTTTATGTTCAGCAGTTAATGGCTTATATCATCATCTCAGTCATTATCTGTCCACTGCTAGACATAGGCTTCCCCCATACTATGCATATACTGCCATAAAGAACGATCCTGAGTCACCTGCATCCACTGACTGCCTTCATTCCAGGTGCATTCATCACGATAGGCTAACCTGCCTTTTCATTATCACGTATCGTCCCTCACTGATGTCTCGCCAGTGTATACCGTTAGCACAGGCGGAGTTATACACCATTTCATTATCATCCATTAAAAAATGCATTTGAATGATTCGTCATACTATCTACTGGGGGGTTGTCTTACACTGCGATTGCCCGGTTCATCGAGCTATGTGATCAGCCCATTACCAATTCAGTTTGCTTATCCTTTGGTTTGGTGTGATTGGTTTTATACTATGGCTGATATAATAATAATATATAACAAGACCATTATGTCATATCCTAATAATCAGTAGGATAATAATATTAATTAATAATCATTATCATCACCTCACAAAATTTTTTTGCAAACTTTGGAATCTTTTTATGAAATTTTGTGCAATAATTTTGGTACTTGTAAAGGGTAAACAACTATTCGAGTATAAGGTATAATTACAGTAAAATATATGACTGAAGGTACGTAATAAAGAATGAGATAAAAAAATTAGAGAAAAAAGTAGAAATAGAATATGGAATGATCTTTTTTTTCGTCGTTCATCTTACTTGATAAAACGCACTGAAAAATAGGACAAACATTCTGAAAACGCTTCGATTTGGAGAAAAATATTTCATGTTTGGGTAAAAATATGAAATTAGACTATCTGATAAAAATAGATATTATTTTTGCGTGAAAGAATAAAAAACATCCACCCATATATTCTCATAAACTTTCACGTTTATAATATTAATAGAAAACATTATATTACTATAGTACAGTAGTGTTGTTACCATAAACTGAATTAATATTAATCAATTTATTAACCTAATTGGTTTAATCATACTATACTTTTAAGTCCTAAATAAATATGACTAAAGATATAATACTTTTTTTTTATACAACTTCGAATGGCAAAGAAGCTGACGGCCCACCTGATGGAAAGTGGTAACCGTCGCCTATAGACATGAGCAGTACCATGGATATAACAGAATATACTGTTTCGCCCATGATACCCCCCCTTCGTATCATATATACATATTTACAATTAATTATTTATTTCTAAATGGTATCTAAAATCTTACTTACTGATATAATAAAATTGTTACTAGACAATAACTGTACGTGGAAGATATTTAAGAGAAAATAATAGGATGGGTCTTAATATTTTTTTTTTTTCTGCTCTTCTGTCATGTATGCATGCAGATAGCATGTTTGTTCCGACATCACGGTAAAATTACAATACCAATTTAAATACGATTTCTATAGTTCTTTGTTGAACAGTTAGTTCGTTCTTGAAGGTCTAATTAAAAATCTAGTATATATTTTATTCTGATACGCTACCTAGAAATTTTCCATTTCATTGGTTTTCTTAAATCTATATGTGCGAAGTAACGGGCAAAAATCTAGACTAGCTCATAGAGATTTTGAATTTTTAAATGTATTTATAATGTGTCAGTGATATATGCAAAAAATGTTAATTCCATTAAAAAGTAGAAATAATTACATACCTCATAAAACAGTCGTGTTCCTAAAAAACTGGGTATAAAAATTTGGCTTAACATCGTCGAGAAATAAAAGACCATGAACACAAACCTCTCCTTTGTAGTCGTCTGTAAAACATTTACATTGTTTATATGATATTTATCAAAACTATTGTCAAAACTTAAATTACCTCAAAATAAACAATTTATTCTATTGAATTATGAATTATTTTATTCCACATATCTCATTTACTATTAATGACAACGATAATTCAGCTACTCGTTGATATAATGTGTCCACTAGGACTGGTATACTATTATTTTCTCACCAATAACAGCCCATACATTGCCACACAAATGATAACTGATGCCATTCCAAATTGTACAAATATGACTACATCCAATATCTCTTGAACGCTCGAACAATATCTATAAAATATCACATAAAATATTATAGCAATATTTTATAAACTAATTAAATAACAAAAATACTGATGGAGTATGAAATTGAGTGTAAATTAAGAAAAAGCTAAACATATAAGATAACTAAAACAAAAGTAAATATATATTGCCATTAAATTTTACAATATAAGAAAATATACCTTAGAAGAATGTCATAATGTTGTAAATATTTTTTAAGTTTCAAGATTTGTAAATGTTCCTGTTCTTCCTGTGATTTCAATGTGGCATTCATTTTCAAGTTTGCTAATTTAAATTGTAGTACTTTTATTTGACTAATTGCTATTAATATTAAACCAGCAATAAATGTATCTACATTTACATTGTACATCATGTGGCCATAAATTCCGAATGATTGATAAATGAACCAATATACGAAATAGTCATTACGGATATCGTCGTTAAGGAAATAGTATCTACAAATTGGTAGTTCTAATTTTGTATTCCAAATAAAATTCATTAATACTGGTAAAAATGTTATAATTGTATATGCAAAGTTGCATATAACCGCATAGATTATCCAACCCACTTTATAAATTAAATTATCGTTCTTGACAATATTTACAGTATCGGAATCTTCGCCCCTAAACTCGTCACAATTCATAAGATAAAAAATTGCTATTATCTTTTTTCTATATATAATGATCATTAAAACCTTAACAGTTACAGCAACTTCGGTAAAATAAAATATCACTTCTCGAATGAATATCTCAATTTTTCTGGGTGTAAATATCAAGTTTAAAGTAAGTAAAATATTATAAATAACCAAATTAATCAAAATATAAACAAAAGAATAATATTTGTAATAATCGTTTCTTTGATTTCCGGGCCAAATTGCGAAAATTTTCCAAAAAAATGTATTAATTTTAAAATTATCTGACAGCTTCATCGACATTGTGAAGAAAAATGTATACTAACACATACCTGTTCACTTATTTATTTTAGGTATTTGTTAAATAAACCATACAATACCTAATTATTTTCAAAATGTGTCATACAAGAATAAATTATTATCAATTTTACTTTCATTATACCTTCTTATCGCGTATACGTTGTATAATGCACGTAGTAATGACCTATTGTGAGGTATGTAAGTGGATAATATAGCCATCATTAACCAAGGGCTAATGTTTCATAAAATAGTTTCATAATCCTGTTCAGAGCCATTTTACACCAATTCTATTTCTTTAAAAAAAACAATAAAAAAAGATCAGAAAGTGTCTATAAAATAATCATAGAAATTCCAAGGCTATATGATATCTTATAAAACTTAATGCATAGGATTATTGACATTTGCTTTAAAAAAGAAACTTTCGAATTAGCTCGGGTCTATATGTTCTGGGTTATGTCCTCAGATATTGATTGTCCGATTCCTAATAACACATGGTGTCCTAGCTTGAGGACCAGACGTTTAGTGTAATTATATGACACATAATAATATTACCTACTATTAAATGGAGATGTTTCAGAATTGTATTTTTATACTCAATACATACCTCTTCAATTTTAATAAACAAAAAAATTATTCAAATGCCTTATTTCTTATAATTTTGTTTTATTTTCTAGTGCAAAAATTAAACATATTAAATATAAAATCGAACAATTGATTTATTCTAATCCTAAAAAAATATGTGCTTATGATGACTTATAAACATAAATTTACGATTTTTTTAAATAATGAGATAATATGCCCAAAAACAAAAACCAAATCAATATTAGAACCATATTTAAAAATTATACTCGTACATTTACCATAAAGAAGCGATCAAAGGTGATAGTTGACTGTTATTATTATGATGCACGAAATGATCTTAATTTCAACTATTGATGGTCTTAACCTCAATCTATATATTTTTATAATTAACACAGTTATATAGATACTTATTTTAAAAATCGAAAAAAATAACAGGTCAATTTAACCATTAAATTTGCATGATCATACAATTTTCTCCACAATTACGCCTGTCCTCGAACAGCTAATATGTGTTCATTTATACATTCATAAATCACTATTACTTTGGTTTGGTATAGGTAATATTAAATCAATATTAACAGAAACGTCATTAGATACATACGTTTTTTTCCATAAAAGAAAAATAGTTATATTCATAGTTTTAATTGATATAATACTTGAAATTAATATTTCAATCAAATTTACATTGCCGAATTCTACGCCCAAAAGATCATCTGTTGATGTAGATCTCCCATCGTGATGATATTTGTACAAAATGGTAATAGATCCAGAGGTCAAACTAAATCGGGAAACCTCATTTCCGTGTTATATCCTTCTGGATTCAGAGAAAGGAGTAGATTAAAACAATGGACGTGTTTGCAATTTCGAAAGCGATGCAACCCTTCGGGTGCGATTTAATTGCAGGGGTTGAGTCGAGACGAGGGGTGGCAGTCATGAAAATCTTCTGCCTTATTCTTAGTAACTTCGGATGCCGCACACGGCTCATTTAATGCATACTGATATTATCCTTTAACTTGCCTAACATTCTAATTGAAATTTCCGCTTCGAAAAAGTCCTCTTTCCCCATATTAGCGTATGTTTATTCTAATTAACGATTGTACAAAGCGGATTAAGAATGTCAATTTAGAAGACTTCATCCAACTTTAAAATTAAAATAATATCTGTGAAACTAATAACAATACAAAGTTCATGTATGTAATTATAAAACTATTGTGTTTATAAATTATAGTCGCAAATGTTAATATCGTATATTAATAACAATAAAAAATTCATTTTTTTTAATCATTAATTAAAATATTTGTGCAAAATATCTGAAAATTTTCAGATAATATATATCTAAAAGTTTTCGATTAATCAAATTTGACGAATTTTGAACCATACTTGTCTAAAATATCCTATGCTGAGTGAAAACTGTTCACATCTGTCACATGTTTTGGATTTAATACTTTATTCTACTTATTATTATAATAATACATCGTATATTTATAAAAAAAGGTTTAGAATTAATAAAAACATTGCACAATTTATGTTATACACAAAGAAAAAGTTAAATTAATATCCCTCTCCATTCATTTAAAACCATCTGCGTATTATGCTCTAGCTAAAAACTATAAAACTCTTAGCTTCTAATAATTAACATTCTCAAAAGGTTATTGTTAGAAAATCATTAACTTCATTTTCCTTTTGACTCAGCGTTCATTCACTCAAATAGGTCCAATAACACTAAAACAAAACAACCGAGTTCAAGATACATCCCTTCAAGCCAGCTATAGCCATTCGGTAATTACACTGCAATATTTTAACCACTTAAAAATAATCTTTCGCTTTAAATGTACGTTCATATCTAATTATTCCCCTAAACCACGAAGTTAGAGATTATAATGAACAGTATCACAGTAAAAATAGTTAAGTTTAACATATTAAGATTTTGTATTAAGTAATTTCAGTCAATAGTAGTAGTTAATAATAGTAACCTATGTAGGTTAATAAGCTATGTAGCTTATTATTGATATTAATATTACTGATTATTAAAATAATACTAATGCAATGATAGCCGTGTAGGTCCCAGTATAGAATAGACCACCTCTTCCTTTCCCGTGGGTGTCGTAAGAGAAGACTGAGGGAGGTTTTGATGGAGGAATGGGCAGCAGTGTTTCTCTTTAAACATCACTAAAAACCAAACTGCGGTTGCCAACTCGCTTGCTTTGCGTGGCAATCATTGACCTTATGGGGAAGGCTATGTTTAGCAGTGAACAGTTAATAATAAATAAATAATTAATCAAAAACATAAAATAATTTTGTTTATATTTAATAATAATTAAGAATTGACTATTATGTTTAGTTTCACGGTTATATATATATATATATATATATATATATATATAAAGTAAATATGTTGGAATATCAAATAAGATCCAGCTTAGACTAATCTGTCATGTTGTTATTAAAACCAAACCTATTTTTTATTTTCATTCAATGCTACAAACTGTAGAGGTACTTTATTTAACTGTTTATAGGACAGTCCAGAATTTCTAGAAATGGTATGTAAAAGACAATTTATGAAAATGAAAGTATATGTATGGATCTTTGGCGCTTTATATATAGGTAACAAGATAGTATATATCATGTTCTTTCAAAAATGCATGGTAACGAAAAAGTATTTACCAGTCGATTCATCTATTATTTGTATTAATAATATACTAATATAAACTACTAAAAGATCATAAATAAAAAGTAGATACCCCTTCCATAATTCAACATAGTCGAATGAATAATTCTAACGATATTTGGAACTGAAAATTTCGTTCTATGGTTCTTAGAAATATTTATAATAGTTCTAAGAATCATAGAACGAAATGTGCTGAACAATATTCATACGGCACAAAATTAATTTCTCCAAATAGAACTAGGAATGAAAGACGTAGCATGCCTACCTTAATGATGGCTTTAGGGTATGCCTCATTGTGCTGGGCCGAGCCCGGAAAATTATAATAACTAAACTTGGAAATTCGCGCATGGACGCGCCATACTTTAATTTTTCACACCCACATTGTGTAGTTGCAGTTGAAAGTTCCATTTTCAGAGTATACATTAAAAATTTTTAAAAGTAATACAACCCACAACTTTGAGGTTTAACAAATAGATTTAGCTCCACAAAAAAAGAGTGATTTCTATCGAGTCAAAATGTTGACTATATTAATGAATTATAATATTGTTAAGTAATTTCAATATACTTAATTTCAAAAGAATTTCAATAAAATATTTCAATTAAATCGCATAATCCTACGTATTAGTACGATTTGATCTGCGAACAACCCTTTACTACAAATATGTCCAAATAACAAAAGTTATTCTCAAATTAGGATCAGAATTTGTAGAGATATTTATTGCATATGTACAAAAAGTATAGACAAATTCACAGACAGAAGTTTTATTTAGATATTATTTAAACATTATTGTACATAAATCTGATTAAAGAACATTGTTTTACGTATATGTATTACCAGTTACCACATTGTTGTGTATCTAAACAATAAAAACCTTTCCGTATTTTTAAATTAATATATCAAGAAATAATACTGTACACGTGTATTATTTAGATGATAAATAACCACTCAACCCTCTCTGTTTGTCTTCATGTGAGGTAATCGCTGTAAAGATAAAATATATATAAATTATGTTGTTACTATTAGCAAATGGCACTCTATCAGTCATGCAAATAATTTTAACCGACTCATTGTAATTTATATTTACGAAAGTACGGACGCCTACACATTTCTCCTCGGCTGGCTGTGTTATATTTCACAGCAATTTTTCTCTGCTCAGCCTCGACTTCCTCTTTTTTAATTAAGTGAAACTAAGAGGCCCTTTTGTTCCAGCGGCCCCCGCTTGCTAATTGCCCGCCAGTCAGTCACTTGTCATCAACAACGCTTTATTTGCCCACTTGTGTTTATAAGACAAATCCTTAAACAGAAAGAAATTGGACTCTGATCGCTAAATTGCTTTCTGAAGTGATTATGTTTCACATTAGAGTTTCTTAATTGACTTTTTTAATGGGCGTTATAACTTTCGAAGTATACCTACTCAATAATATTGATATTTGTATATTAGCTTATTTAGATTAATCTCATATTACAGATATGAGACAACAACTAAATTTATAATTTTAAGGAACACTAAATGAATATATTTTATTATTGCAGTTGCTCCTTGTCGTTTTTAATTTCTTTTTCGAATAATATGTTATTATATTTTTTTTACAAATAACCTAAAAACCAGAATTACGCCATCGTCATAGGATGAAAAACTAGTCGAGAGACTAGATTATCTGCAAAGCTTGTACGTGTGTCCTGTTTAGTATGCATTAATCACAAGCGGGCGGCCGCCGGCGTGATTGAAACTAAATCCCTTAGGAAGTCGCT